TTTCTGGACCAGCACCAGCCCGCCTGGAGGTTTTACACTTTATTTCATTTTCAAGGCCCAGTAATTATTCATTCATGTCGCTTTGACCAGTTTTAGTCATTGTGAACAATATTTCTCCTGTTCTGGACACGTTTCCAGATATTTTGGGCAGATGTGAGTAATTTTAGGAAAGTTTTCAGTTCTTTTGGACACATTCTGAATCGCTTTAGACGAACAACTCTGAGTCATCTGGGACAGGCTTTCAGTCTTTTTGGACACGTTTGGGCATAAAAACCAGAACCTTGTCTGGTCCAACTTCACCACATCTGGTTCTACTGATGTTAGAGCCTCAACAGGTGGTGAAGTGTGACCAGAGACTGGGTTCTAGTAGAACCATGGATCCATCCACCTGCTGTTCTTCATGTCCTGATCTCAGCTGGTGTCGGTCTGTAGATGATCGTCTGTCTGATTCGTCTCTGACTCGTCGTCATCGTGTGTCGCTGCAGCAGAAAGTCATCGGTGTGGTTCTCTTCACTTCAGTGTTTCTCTTCTTTGTGCGTTTAAATAAAGGTTACACACACACACACACACACACTCGTGAGCAGCAGCGACTAGTCACCTGCAGTAATTACAGCACACACACACACACACACACACACACACACGCACTCCTGATAAGGGGAAGGACAGATACTCCAGCGGTCGGCCGGTTCTGTGTTGGCTGGTTATCGCCGTCACTCTTATTGTCTTCTGTCACTCGCGTCCTTGTCTGGAAGGACGAGCGGCGATAAAGACGCTGTTGTGTTTTAATAAGTTTTATCTGAAGACTGTGAGCAGACAAACAGAACTCAAACGGAGCCGACGGAGTTCTAACCGTGGAGGTCACCGAGGCATCAGTCAGAGCTGCAGCTGCTCTGATCCGCTGCTGCTGCTGCAGAACCAGAACTCTGGGTTCTGGGTCTGGCTCTGGGTTAAACCTCTGAACCTGAAGCAGCTCCTGGTTCATGGTCCTTCACTGAGCTTCATGTTAAAGTCCTGCAACTCTGAGGAACCAGAACATGGAGGAGGAGGAGGAGAGAGAACCCAGAGATGATTCTGTCAGCAGGACTCAGAACCACAGAGACCAGAGAGAAGAAGTGCAAAAGTGTAAAACTAGAATCAACGTGTCTCCTCAGATGTTTCCAACACTGGAGGATCAGCATCGTCTCCACAGGCTGAACATCCTGAACTACCTCCACGTCTATCTGGTTCCATCCTGGTCTCCATTCTGTGGACTCACAGTCCAATCAGAACCCTGAACTTCTGTCATGTGACTCGTGGCTTCATGTTTGTGCTGAAAGACTCAGTCTGGTCCATTTAAAGGGTTTCTGTTTGGATGTTTTTTAGAATAATGTGGTTTTGACTTTAGGCTCAAACTTGGTGATATTTCCTGACAGAACAAACAGCAGGAAGTCAAACATCTGATGGTTGCTCCTGTTCTCACAGTCTGTGGATGATAGATGTCGACGAGCTGTGGAGGGTTGGGTAGAAGAACAGAGATCTCCCAGAGAACGTAGGACGCTGTCACACATGTAGAGACACTGACGTAAATGTAGTGGTTTGGGTTTCAGCAGACTGAAGGTGTGACGTCATGTGTTTGGTTCAGAGGAACGTTTCCTCCTGATCAGTGCTTAACATTTAGCTTCTGTTTTCTTTGAGCTGGACTTTGGCTTCTCGTATTTCTACATGTTCTTATTTCTGCACATGCTCAGTTGGTCTCCCGGTTCATCCTCCACCAGTCTGGGCTGACTTTAGGTTCTTCTCGGGTCACGTCTGTGGATCCGTCTGACCCACATCCACAGCAGACGTGTGGACTCGTCCTTCAGCGTCTGGATGCCGTCTGAGGCGTCCCGCTCTGACTGAGCTCTGTGGGGAAAAGGAAGCAGCGCATTATAATGGTATTAAATCTCTTGGCCCACCTCTGCGTTAGCGGCTGGAAGGATAACATGATGTATGGCGGCGCTGGCTGCCAAGGTTTGGGGCTGATTAAAAAACCCAGGTCTCCATACATCTTCAACACGTGGTTGGGTGGGAAACAGAAACTGGCACAAAGTGTGGGCGTTAAATCAGAGTCACTTTATCTGCCAAGTAAACATATTGCTCTTTGCCACTGATGCAGGCAGATGTTGGAGTTTGTCCTCCACATGTGCAGCAGACAGAAACTTTAGGTTCTGTTTTATCCGCAGTGGGCAGCAGCGTCGGGTTACTAGAGTTCACCTGGAACATCTGGATGGAGTCCGTCAGTTTGCTGCTTGTCTCCACGTCACTGTACGACTCCTTCATTAGTATTTATTAGCTGAAGCGTTTCTGATTTGCAGCAAAAAGTTAAAATAAATACATTTAAAGAAGCCTTATTTCAAGCCAGAACGTGTGAAGCTGCAGGTTTCAGATCTTCACTGAACGCTTCCTAACTTCCTGTTTCTTTATTCTGCTGGAGAACGTGGAGCTTTGTGCTTCAGAGTCGGACTAAAAACTCTTTTTACTTCTGCTGTTTGTAGTTTTTTAGGTTTTAACAGTCTCTAACAGTTTACTGTTATTTTACAGATTTGCCCTATTTAGTTTAGGGTTTTTTTTAAATTACAGATAATAAACAGAATCACAGTAAAAAGTGTTGAAAAATAATTATTAATAATTACTTCTTGTACAATATTTGACCATAAAATTCCAGTTTAACTGTTTTTAAATCATCTAAAAAACATTATTGTTTTACAGATTTATGTGTATTAAGGACTGAAAAATGGTAAATACCTAAATAATAATAATTCAAAATGTTATTTCACAGGTTTCCTCTGTTTTCTGAACTTAATATTGAATAAATCGGTAAAGCTTGTTTTACTTGTTGACTGTTACATCAGGCCACAGCCCTGAATAATCAGACATCAGGGTTTTTACAGACGTGATGTTTTTTCTGACACTGCTCTGTTGTATTTAAATCAACTATCATATCAGCATTTATACGTATTGGCAGGTATTTATACTGACAGGACTCTACAAGCTTCTGTCTTCCTCATGTTTCAGACGTACAGAGCCGACAGCAGAACCGGCTCCTGTTCGGTTCTGGAGTGAGCCGTGCTGTAATCGGAGCGGGGCTGACGTGTTATTTCCCAGTGTGCCGTGTGATAATTGTGTTAGCGTGTTGCTGGATGTCTAATTTCTGCTCCGCATTGTTCCTGCTGTGTAATTAGCTCCACCAGTGACTTTATGTAAAATACTTCTGCCAAGTTTTAATTGATTAAAAGTCGACGTGTTTCTGCGACGGAGAACAATGTAGATCCAATTAGCAGTGTAACGTGTAAACATGAACACTAACTCCCATGGTGCACCGGGGCCGCGCACGGGGCCGCGTCCGTGTGTGTGTGTGTGTGTGTGTGTGTGTGTGTGTGTGACTCAGTGATCAGCCTCGTTTCTTAATCATCACTTTCTGCTCCAGATGAGATTTTATGAGGGGACTAAATTGCCTTAAAGGGATTTCTTATTAAAGGGATTACACCCATGTAATCCCCTTTGTCCCAGTGGACCCCCAAAAACCTGCACACACACACACACACACACACACACACACACGCTGCTACACAACCAGATTAACACGTGGAAACAAATGTGCACAATCCTGTCGACGCGCCACAAACCTTAAAGAGACTCTGCTGCTGCTGAAAGCGTCTCTGATTGTGTTTGTGTGTATTTATAACCTTGACACGAGTGTGTTTGTGTGCGTTTGTGCGTCTGTGTGTGTGTTTGTGCGTCTGTGTGTAGTTGTGCGGCGTCACGCCACAGTTTTGGCGCCGCTCCCTCGTCTCATCCCCAATTAACGAAGACAAATCCGCTTCTATCGGTGCTAATGAGAGTCTTTAAGGTGAAGGGACTCTGTATGTATTTAATAAGAACAAGCTTATTTATTGCATTTCCATAAGAATGAGAAAACGCTGCCGATTCTCCACAGAGGCCGGATTAGAGCCGAGCCGAGGAGGAGGAGGAGAGTCTGGATCCTAGCTGCTGTTCTGCAGCTCCACAAACGGTTCTGAGTGGTTTCTACAGTTTCTACACGATCAGGGACGAGATTAGAGTCATGCTCACAAGTTCATGTCATATTCTACAAGTTTAGTCATTTTAGACAATTACTGGATCATTGTGGACAAGATTTCAGTCACTTTGCACGATTTTTGGCTCATTATAAACACGTTATCGTCGTTTTGTTCAGTTTCTGAGAGATTTTGAAGAATTCCTAGATTATTAATATCATCAAAAATGACTTAAATCTTGTGATTTAAGTCATTTTTGATGATTTCTTTGCTATTTTACACAAGTTTTAATCATTTTTGAGCAATTACTGGATCATTTTGGACAAGATTTAAGTAATTTTGGCAAATTTTGAGTCAGTTTAAAAGAGTTACAGTCATGTTGCACATATTAAAGTCATTTTGACCAAGTTTTATTCTGTTTCAACTGTTTGTGAGCATGTGGGAACTATTTGAACCAACTCTGGAAGCATTCACAGCACTTCAGTGTTATTAAATACAGAGAAGACAAAGGCAGCATGAGTTGAAGCTCATCTTTATTATAGCACCTGAGATCAGGTGTGTTCCTCAGACGTCTGGTTTTTGTTCTTCTCTATTGGTCCAGAGTGATCGTCTATAACAACATGATGTTTAGTCAACTAACCTTCCATCGTCCTGCTGACAGAACACGTCTCTGACTAGTTCTGGTTCCGTCCGTTTGTTTACGTCCTTGTTCTGTAGAATGAAACCACATAATGAGCAGCTGGGATCCGATCAGGTTCTGTCTGCAGATGGACTGATTTTATACCTTCAACGTGCTTTGTGTTGTGTTATCGGACTACAGACTGTTTCAGCAGGTGTCAGTGTTACAGGATGAGATCCAGATAACAGAACTACGACCTCCACAGCTCGTCCTTCCTCCGTGTGTTCTTGGGTCAGGAGAGCAGGATGAGGCGGTAAACTAACTGTGCTGAACTGTGTGTGCAGGTGGAGCTGACGGGCAGCAGCGTGTTCGACTACATCCACCCCGGAGACCACGTGGAGATGGCCGAGCAGCTCGGCATGAAGCTGCCGCCGGGCCGAGGCATGAGCCTGTCGCAGGGAGCCGTGAACGAAGACGGAGCTTCTTCGGCCTCGTCGTCGTCGCACTCGGAGACGCCCGAACCAGGTAGGACCCGGGAGGGACGGTCGAGCTGTCGGTACCGGTCAGAGAGCCGGACACAGGATAGACCAGGAGGGTTAGCAGGCAGGAGGAGGAGAAACAGAGCAGTGGAGCCTCGGGTCAGGCTGGAACCAGAGAGAAGGGCAGCAAGGCGGAGGGTCTTCAGGTCTCAGCTTCAGGTCAGCAACGTCCTCAAAGTGTGCAGAGTCAGTGCTGTGCTTTATCAGGACCACAAGCATTTATTCCTCTGAGTGGTTCTGACTGAAGGTTGGGGCCGGTTTGATGTTGAATCACTGGATGAAACTGAAGCAGCGACTGTTGGACTCAGATGAACGGCGTCTAAGAGAACGCCGCTGAGTTAGAATCTGAGCTGAACCGATCAGTTAAAGAGGAACTGGAAGGAGACGGAGTCTGGTCGAGGTTCCCACCAGAGCCTCAGGATGGAGTACCGGGTTTTATCACAGTTTGGACTCGTTGGTCAAACAGGTGTGGAGCGTCTGTGGTAGTTTTACATCTTTTAATTTGGTGCTTTTACAACTTTTTGTGGTCATTTTACATCCTTTATGCTTGTTTTGCCTTTTCTTGTGCATCTTTTCAACTCATTTTGCATCTTTTAAAGGTTGCTTTGCACCATTTTAGGGCTCGCTGCATCTCTTATTGTGGTCATTTTGCACCTTTTCTGTCAGTTTCCATGTTTCATGGTAACTTTGCATTTTTATGTGGCAGTTTTGTGTCTTTTTGTGGTAGTTTTACATCTTTCAGAGTCATTTTGCATTTTTTATTTCTTTATTTTTTTTAAAGGATTTAGTTTGGCCTTTTCCGCCTTTATTGATAGTGACAGTGAAAGAGAAACGTGGGGAGGAGAGTGAGGGAATGACATGCAGCAAATGAGCCGCTGGGTGGAATCAAACCCGGGCCGCTGCGTCGGGGACTGTAGGCCCTGTTCATGGGTCGCCTGCCCTACCCGCTGAGCTATCCAGGCGCCATCATTTTGCATTTTTTAGAGCAGGTTTTACATGTTTCAGAGGCTGTGCTGCACCTTCAATGTGGTAGTTTGGCATGTTTTTGGTCCTGCATCCTTTTGAAGTCGTGTTGTGTGTTTTTGTTGTCAGCTTCCGTGTTTTATGGTCATTTTACATCTTTATGTGGTGGTTTTACATCTTTACATGATAGTTTAACATCTCTCCGTGGTTGTGTCGCGTCTCTCTTGGTGGGTACCAGCCAGACTCGGGATGCTTCCTGTTGGTCTCAGCTGAGGACGGTTTGTTGTTGACAAATTTCTAAACCAGACTTTCAGAATAATGTGATCTCCAGCTCAGATTTTCAATGTAGTTAAAACAATCATGAGATTTCTGTGACATTTTTCTAACTGTGAGCTTATTTGTGATTATTTTTCCCGCTGAGAGCTGCATGATGCATTCAAGGACCATCAAAATCTTTCAGTTTTTAAATCGTCTGGCTGATAAATGGTCATTTTGGGGATTTTGTTGACAGAAAATGTGCTTTCCACAGCAGCTGGTGGGTTTTTGGGGTTCAGATTTAAATGAATCTGGATGTTTCTGCTCGCAGCTCGTTTCTCTGCTGTATGTTTGGATGTGTTTCCACGCTGTAAACTGCTAAAGGACACAGTCCTGGTGGGATTCTTTGTTTGGTTGGTGCCGTCCTCCCTCCGTCCTCCTGTTCAGGACTTCCTACCTTCCCAGCGGTTTCCTCGGAGCTCTCTCTGCCGCCGTCTCTCTCTCGTGCTGATGATAATTTAAGTATTAGGGGAAAATCCATTTATAAATTAAACAAAATGACTTGATATCCATCGAGTCCCTCAGTTCATCAGCCTGTTCAAACAAGGAGTTGAAGATTGGCTTCGCGGCGGCCGGGGTCTTCGGAGACGGCTCGGTAATTAGATCTGCCGCGGATTTATTCTTGGCTGATTGGTGATGGAGGGAGGGGGGGCTTTAAATTAATTGGAGTTCCACATTTGAGGTTTTTGTTCTTTTTTTTTTCTCTCTCTCTTTGACTTTCTGCAAACCTCTAAGCGAGCCTCCCCGAGCAGCGGCGGCCGGACGGAGCGTCGGCGTCAATGTCAATTTGTCTGAAGGGAAAGAAAACAGCAGAATCTGAAACAGGGACGCCGTTTGCTTCTGCTAATTTACCCCAAAGATGGAGGAAAACGAAGGTTCATGTCATGTTCTCAGCGATCCCCAAAGTTAATTTGAGCACGGCGAGAAAAAAACGAGCAAAAAGACAAAGACGGAGGTGTTTGTGGAGAGACGGGGGATGTCGGGACACGAGCGCTTAGCAATGCTAATTTGTCCAAAGCGCGGGAGGAGCGGCTGCAGACGGACATGTATGGATGTGGACCGGTGATCCCCAATGATAATGTGAGCGGCGCAGGATTAGGATTCATGTATGTGTTATTTAATGTTAATTTGCCTGCAGAGAGACGAGGAGCCGCCATGAATTTGTATGAGAGCTTCCCAGGAGGAGCGCCGCCTGATTCAGGAGTCCAGAGAACAGAAACGTTCGCACAACGTAAAGGGAACGTTTCAGACGAGAGGATTTCTGCCGGTTGAATCATCGCAGCGTCGCTCGGTTCTCGTTGTTTGTGTTCGCAGCGAGAAAATGTGTCAACGAGCTGAACGGATCGGTCACGTGTTACAGTGAAGACGGAACATTGAACCCAGTGAAGCTCAAACACGTTTTTAGGAAACGGTTCTCATGTTTCAACTTCTTTGAGAGCTTTTAGTGCGTCTGAACAACTCATGTCACTCCATAACTAACAACTAGTGAACCATCGTTATGAGTTCTCCCTCCAGAACCTCCTCAGAACATCTGGTTCTGTATCTGCAGAACCTTTATCTACTGACCAGAGTTCTGCCTTCAGACTGTGAATGTTCCAGAGTTCCAGGTCCTTGAAGTCCACAGAGGAGGGTCCAGATGGATCACTTTAATGGACTTTTTCCATCATTTCTGAGCCTCAGAACTTCATCAGTACAGCAGATAGACACATGACATTTAGGAGGAAGAACACATCTGGGTTCTGGTAGAACCTGACACCAGATCAGTTCTACATCCATCCAGGTGTCTCAGTCTGAACACTGGACCTGGTTCTGTTCATGTCCTCTAAACTATAAAGTACCGCGGCCACAAATGTCAGTAATTCTTCTTTATTTATTCAGTTCTGGCCTGAAGTCAACATTTTAACAGGGAAGCCAAATTCACACCTTAACTATCGGGAATAACAGATTAAAATATATCTTCTGAAGTAGTTTTCAGGAGTCGTGGCTTTTTGGTTTTGCCACAGAACACAGAACTTTTTTTTTCCAGAACCTAGAGTGAACTCTTTGTTTTTAGAATCACAGTTTGAACCCAAAGTCGTTTTTTCTGACAGAACACGGTGCGTTCAGGGACTAATCTGACATGTTATTGTGTGTTTAGAGGTTCTGGAGATAACTGGTGTGTTTTTGGTGATTCTTTAGAAGTAAACCCGTCCCTCTGACCCGACGCTGAGTTCTGAGGTTTCACAGTGTGGTGGTTGTTCCTGAGCGATGGAGAACATAGAACTGCTGGTGTTTGTTAGCCGAGGAAGCAGCAGGATCAGACAGCAGCTCTGCTTTAGCTCAGAACCTTCTCATCTGACTCCAAAGTCAGCGGCTCTGAACTCTAGACGTGGTTCAGGTTTTGATCGCTTCATTAAAGTCAGATTTATTGATTTAGATCAAACTTTAAAGTTGCAGACGTTATTCTGATGGTTGATATGATGATGTTGCATCAACTTCATTTTCTGTGTAATTTAAACTGAAATTAGTTGTTTTTGGTTCCAAGATTAAAATAAAATAAAAATAAAAACACAAAAAACAAAACCTGATTAGATCGACTTAGTTTATTAAATGTAATTATAATTACAGTAATTAGGTCACCAACACTTAAACACTAAGGACATACTGGTTGGAAAACCTAATTTCTGTAAATAATCCACTTCAGAACTTGTGTTCAGTCATTAAATGATTCAATCCGTCTGACTGTCGATGATTCCTGGAAGTTTGTTGGTTGAACACGATTTTGTCTAAATTTTAAAGGATTAATATCATAAATGCTTCTCATGCACGTCATCACATGAGCGTGCAGCAGATTTATTAAACACATAATGAGGATTAGGGTCCTCTGATGCTGCATCGCTGTGAGAACCTGCTTCTCTGCAGGATTCACTGGTTGTTCTCCACCAACACGCCCACACCTTCCTCCAGACGGTGACTAATGTGTTTCCACCGCCGTCTTCATCATTAGTTTCATTCTGGTCGATACCTGGTGACCCGCCGCCCGCTAACGTGTCCGGCTGAGCTTTTCCATTTGTTTACATCTCCTCCTCCTCCTCCTCCTCCTCATCATCCTCCTCATCATCCTCCTCCTCCTCCTCCTCTTCATCCTCCTCCTCTTCTTCCCCATCCTCCTTCTCCTCTGAGCTCTGGTTTTCTCCGATCGATGGCTTCGTTTCTCTGAGAACTTTCCCTCTGATCTTCGTTCCTTCCTTCCATCCTCGGATGCTGATTTTATTCCTCTCGGTTTCAACCCAGTCACTTGATCTGCAGCCTCCTGTGTTCATTTACCGGATTGGTTCGTATAATCTGAAGAAACAAATGTGAGTTTAAACCAAACGCTGCACATGAACCAGACAGTATTTCTGGGTTGTGTTGAGTAATGAAAGTTCTCATCGGATTGTTCCTCCATTGCTGCTCAGACCATTCTAAGATTAGGAAACCAAACCGGTGCTTCATGAATGTTTGTGAAACTGTGCAAAGGTTTCAGGCAGATTATTCACTTCCAGACAGCATCAGGAGGCGTCTTTCTGCAGCAGAACAGTGCAGCGATGCTCTGCTCCTGGAGGTTCTGTAGCTCCTGGAGGTTCTGTAGTTCCTGGAGATTCTGTAGCTCCTGTAGCTCCTGTAGCTCCTGGAGGTTCTGTAGCTCCTACAGCTCCTGTAGCTCCTGTAGCTCCTGGAGGTTCTTTA